CTTGATAAACTTTGATCTTCTAGTTTGATTTCTTTGCTTGGTTAGTTGATTTAAAGTGTTTGGAGGTGATTTAGTGGGTTTTAGGTGGAAATTGCTAAGGAAATTTTGTAAGATTTTCCTTTACATTTAGCTAATTTTCATCCATTTTCTTGAATTTTTGCACCCATATTTATAGCCAAATTTTGATGGACCTTTGACCTCATCTCCACCCTTGAATTGTTGTGTTTTGGAGTGATCCCTGGCCCTTAAATTAAATTTAAATCTTAGCCCTTCAAATGGACTAATTTTTAGCCATTGACCTTTCTTTAATTTCTAGCCTTCCATCTTGCATTCTTCTAACCTCTCTTTTTTATCCAAGTCAAGGCTCATTAGTTAACCCCTAATCATGGAGCTAAATTTCGGCTAGAAGGGTGGAAAAGTTTCCAAAATTTTGCTTGCTTTTAGTCCCTCATTTTACTAATCTTTTCTTTAATTACTCATTCAATCATCCTTAAAATTTTCAATTGATCACTTTAAGTCCTTCCTTTAAAAATATCTTAACAACTTTTTAACTCATTAGGTTCATAGCTAATTTAATTTAGAAGTTCAATTTTTTAATTTTATGCAATTAGGTCTACTTTTTCAAAATTCAATTTCCCTTCATAATAAATTCAAACACTTCTTAAAAGAATTTAATCATTATCGACATAATTTTTATATCTTTATTTAGGCCTCTAATTTAAATTTTCTAGTGTGAAAATACACTATTTTCTATAGAAAATATTCATCGTGTTTATAAAAAATTATCTAAACTTATAAAAGATTCCTACACATTTTAAATAAAATTTCTATACCCTTTGAATAATTTTTTTTAATACATTTAAAGTACCTAAATTAATTAGTTTGCCATGAAAATACTATTCGTACACACTCAAATTGAAATAAAATATTCACCACATACCAAAAAATTCATACAACAACCTAGAATAATTTTACACCCCTCTAACAAATATTTTAATCAAGAAAAACATTTTTCATACACATACAATATGCTTAAAATATTTTTTCACACGAAATTACTATTCATGCATCGTAAAATCAATAAAATATTCATTAAGCATCAAATAACTATTTTAATAGCTTTTAATATTCTTTTAAGTCTTTGTGGATTATTTCATGTCTTCAAAATATTTCTCATATGTTTTACATATTTAATTTTTAGTTTTAATGGTAATTGGTTATTACACTTATATTGAGTCCAACTTCTAAAATCATTTCATGTATGTTTTTGCTAAATCACCTTTAACTTGAGGTGGCATTTGGTATGGTGTTAAAGTGAGAGTGAATTGTTATAGGCATAGCTAGTTTTTTTGCCCGTGTTATACTACGGGTTGGATAGAACATGTGAAATGGTGTAAGTCTACAAAAACATATGAAGTTAAAGCTAAAAAATTTATTTTATGATTTTTTAATAAAAAATATATATTTAACTATTTCTTCTTTGACCTTTTCACAATTATTCTATTAAGAAAAGGTTTATTCTTCTTAATCCATGGATTGTCAATTGAAAATAAAATAAAATATTTTTTAAAAAAAACTTTAGCATTTCGTAAGATTGTGTAGAAAAAATAAAGTAACAATCAATAAAAACTTCCATAGAATTGAATAAATAAAAAAATTATTTTTGATTTTTATTTACGGTATATATGTATATAGATACATGTTACATATGCATGTATCATATAGATGTATGTATGTTACATATACATATATAGACCTATATATGTATGTAACATATACATCTATATACACATACATAGTTAGATATTACTAATATTCTAAAACACAAGACACTTTAACATTTCAATGAACCGTGTTTTTCATCCTTTTTTTTTCTTTTCTCGCTGGGTTCAACCATGCAACCAAGGCCCGGCACCGACTCGTCCTCGCCGAAGAGGCGCCCGATCTTATTTCTTTTTTTGTTTTTTGTTTTTTCCTTTATACATACATACATACATATATGTATGTATATATATATATATATATATATATATATATATATATATATATATATATATATATATTAGCCAGTGCCGCCTTTTTTTTTCCTTCTAATAATATATATATGTATTGCTATTAATTGTAAAAAACACTAAAGCAAAATGATATTTTATTCACATACTAACAAATTACTATTCATGTCATTTTTGTAACATTGTTCACACACTCACAAATTACTATTCATGTCATTTTTTTTAACACTTTGGTCTTCAATTTTTTTTATCTATTTATTTTTCAATTTTAAACTTTAATTATATTGTGATTTGGTCCCATTTTGGTTTAATATTTTTTGTTAATTATTTTTATTATTTTAAATTTACCACTTTAATTTATCATTTTTTTTAAAATTCTCATCCAATTAATTTAAAATCGTATTTACTCACAGACTTTGATTTATTTTAATAATATTGATTCTTTTGTAAATAAATATATAAAAATTAAATTTATATATTTTTTAAAAAATCGATATTCTCATCAACATTAAATAAAAAAATAAAAAATATATTTTTTCAATTCTACGTAAGCTTTTAATAATTTTTATTTTTGTTTCTTGACAAAATCTTATGAAATACTAAAGCTTTTTTTAAAAAAATTATTTAATTTTCTTTTTGGTTAATAACCCATGGATTAACAACGATAAATCCCTTTTCTAAAGGAAAAATTATGAAAAACACAAATAAGAAATAGTTAAATACAAAATTTTTTATTGAAAAATTATAAATATATATATTTTTTCACCTTTGATGTCATATATTTTTGTAGATTCACATCATCAAATAAACTATTAAATTGAAATGATTTTTTTTAAAATAATTTTATAAATTTTATCCAACTCTGCAGCATGGCTTGGGCAAAAAATCTAGTACATATCTATATATGTGTGTGTGTGCTACTATAATTTAAAAACTCAAAAAATCGATCATACAAATTATATAAATCTATTTTTCCAAAGCAAAAATAATCATGTTCTAAAAATTTATTTCAAAATTCATACATAGAAAAAAATAAATCAAAATTATCAGTAATATGTTTTTAAATTAATTCGATGAGGATTTAAAAAAAAATGACAAATTAAATTAGTAATTTTTAAATAATAAAAGTAATATAATCTAAATATATGTTTCGATCTATTGATGAGAATATCAAATTTTGAAAGAATTTGATTTAATTTTTAAATATTTATTCACAAAAGAATGAATAAGATTAAAATAAAAAACTATATTTGAATCATTGGGTGGTTACGCTAAAGCATAATCTCAATTATTTAATTTTAAAGAAATTAATTTTAAAATATTCAAAAGTAAATATATGAATAAATAGGATTGCAATAGTTGCATAGTTAATTTCTATATATATATAAAAAAACAATGATTGGATAATTTTTTTTTACATCATAACTATACTAAGTGAGTTTATAGTTTGAAGTGTAAAAAAAAATTCTATAAAAAAATGTTAACTTGTGAGAAATATATTGAATAAATTTGAATTTAATAGATTGCAATAAATGTTATTACAAAACCGATTTCAATAAATTTTGACTATATAAAGAATAAACAAATAAAACACATGAATTCTTTTTTGTTTTTCCTTCTTAAGTAATTTTTTTTATTTCTATGCTATACATGGTTAGTCTTTAAATACGAGCTTCACGGGTAGAGCAATCATTTCTCTTCTTTTTTTTTTCATATTTGACTTTCAATTATTAATCAACTATTTTGAATTTGTTTTCTAAAAAATCAAGATAAATTATTTGAAATACACTTTTAATCTAAAAAGTGTATTTCAAATATATATATGTGTGTGTGTGTGTGTGTGCATAAATACATACATACATATATGTATATATGTGTGTGTGTGTGTGTGTGTGTGTGTGTGTGTGTGTGTGTGTTGTGAGGTTATGTGAAAAAAATAATAATCGATTTTTCATATTTTATTACAAAAAAAATCAATAATGAAAAAGTCATTGGAAAAAAAGGAAAAAAAAGCCAAGTAAAGCCCGTGTGAGTGAGCTTTAAAAAACAAGACAATGCATTTTTTTTTTGGAATGAGTCCTTACCGTGCCTCTCTTTCTTCCGTTTTGTCTTCCTACGTTTCTTTCTCTTACCTACATTTGAAGATCAAATCAAAGTACAAATAAAGTTTGGAATTGAAACAAAAATATATAGAAAAATTAAGAACCAAAGTATAATATTCCTAAAGAATGAAAAGTTACATAATAAATGTCTCAAAATGTCTTGGAAATTATAACAATGCATTGCATAGTGAAATGAATAGTAATTTATATGTACGTAAATGGTATTATAAATTGGAGAAACCTATTTAGTTTTAGTTTTTTTTTTGTTAATTATTACACAAACAATTTTTAAGGTTATAAAGATTTGTTTTAAAGGATGTTTAGTGTGTTAATAATTAAACGATTAAATGTCACTAAAAAGAAAAAAAATTTAAATTATTAGTATGAGTGGTGAGCGTGAAATAAAAATTTATTAAGAGTGTATTTTAGTAAAAAAGTAAGAGAGCATCTAAAAAAAATATTGTTTCAATGGAGGGTAAAATTTATACTCCAAATTGGATGGTAAATACTATCCATCTTAATAATTAACTTTTTTTCTTTCTAGAAATAAGCAAACTTAAATTTCTTAATAATAAAATTTAAATTTTGATTAACCCCCTACCAAATATAAATTAAGAGTTAAAAAAATAAAATTATATAGACAATGTCTTTATCATAAAAGTAGGAGTACACATGTAGCATATTGTATTATAATCACCAAGCAACCACAACAACTACTATTATTATTACTAAAACTTTAAAAGACATGGAGTTCGATTGTGCACAAACCTCGTTCACTTGTTTTTATTTTTTATAAGACTCTAAAAGATAGAGTTCTAACTGTTCACGAACTCGTTCACTTCTTTTTATTTTTTATATATATGTTTTGTAATTTAACCATCGGAAGGTGTTTGTACTTTAACGGTTACAATTGTCCCCTTTCAAGCAATAGAACTCGGGTTCGACTCCCGACAAACATGTTTTTTGCTTTGATTTTTTATTTCTAGCTTGTTCACTACTTTGTTTCTTTTTTGTATATATGTTTTGGAATTCAAGCACTACAAAGTGTTTGTAGTCAAGCGATTAGAATTATTGCTTCTCAAGCAATAGAACTTGAGTACAAATGCATTTTTGCTTTGATTTTTATATGTGGTTGTGACTATTATGATTTATATATATATGAAAAAACACAAGGTTGTGACTATTCACAATCCTCGTTCATCTTTTTTTCTTTTCTCGAATACCTGTTCACTCTTTTCTTTTCTTTTGGTTTCAAGTTGTTGTTTTCTTTTTTGCCCTTTTGTTTTTTTCATCATTAGGTTCTTTTTTTATTTAATTTTTTTCATCCACTTGTTCACTTTTTTTTTCCAGTATTGTTCACTTTTTTTTTTTTCAAGTTGTTGTGGATACATGTCTTTTCTTTTTCTCCCTTTTTGGTTTTTTCCCCATCAATTTAGGTTGGTTTTTTATTTTATTTTTTCAAATTTTTAGATTATTTTATTTTGGTCTCTAAAATTTTAAAATAAAATTTTAATCTCCTAACCGATGCACTCGCTCATACCTTTTTTGTTTTCCTTTTTTTTTTCCATTAATTTATGTTTTTTTTTAACTAGGTGTTAAAATTTTTAAAAATCAATCATTATTTTTTTCATGCAAACTAATGATTATATAACATATACGGTATTTTTTATAGTTATATGATATGTTTTTGGATATATATATATTTGTTTCAAGTTGTTTTATTATACATGCCTTTTTTTCTTTACTTTTTCCCATCAATTTAGGTTATTTTTTGATTTATTTTTTTAAATTTTCAGGTTGTTTCATTTTGATCTCCGAAATTTTAAAACAAAAAATTTAATCCCCTAACCGATGCACCACTTATGTCTTTTTTTCCTTCGCTTTTTTCTTTTGCATTTTTTTTTATCAATTTATGCTTTTTTTTAAAATTAAGTTTTAAAATTTTGAAAATCAATCGTTGCTTTTTTTCACACAAAATGACAATTATACAACACTACTTATGCCTTTTTTTTCTCTTTGCTTTTTTTTTTCATCAATCTATGTTCTTTTTTTTTATTTAATTAGGTGTTAAAATTTTAAAAAATCAATCTTTACTTTTTTCCACACAAACTGATAATTATGTAATATATATGATTTGTTTTATATTTATACGATATGTTTTTAGATTTTAGAATAAAGATAAAGTACTCTTATTGTTTAAAATTGATTTTTTCGATAAAAATTCTCATTAACTTAATTTTTATTCTTATTTTTTTATAATTTTTTAATTGAAAAATATAACTTATTTTATCTATGTATGGATTTGAATAAGTGTTTTTAATACCCATTTTTATTTCCTTAATTCTTATATAATCAAATTTTAAAAATTGAATATATTTATTTTACTTTCTTAGTTTTACATAATCAAATTCTATCGAAATCAATTTTATACTTTTTACTACACTCTATTAACTTCAATATATATTTTGGCATTTCATTTTGAAAATATTTTTTAATTTATTTTATACATTCTCATCTATTGAGTACGGTCATGATGTATCAAAAATAATAACGTTACGAGTCATTAATTTTATTAGAAATAACTATGCATTTATACACACAATACCAACTATTCGCTATTACTTTTTTAAATATTTAAAATGATTTTTTAAATGAATATAATTGAAATAATATTTTAGAATAACTCGCCTAATAATTCAAATATAATTTTTTATACTAATATTATTCATTATTTTGTAAATAAATATATATAAATCAAATATATATATATTTTTTTAAAAAATCTTCTTATCGATAAAAAAGTTTCATTTGCTAATTTTCATACAAGTTTTCATACTAATTATTGCTTTATTTCTTCGATACAATATGATGAAAAAAATATTAAGATGTTTTTTTAAAATTTTATATTAAAATTTGTTTATTATGGATTTTATTTAAGAATAAATAAATAGAAAAGAGCAAGTCATATTTTTTTTGACTTCAAAATTTATTTTTTATATTTAATTTCATATATTTTAATTAACCAATAATATAATAAATGTTATCAAACAGAAATGCATATATTTAATTTAGTCCACGAGGTAGCACGAGAATTCGAACTATTCATACATCTAAAATTCTTATTCACTTACTATTCATATGCATAAAATTACTATTCATTTGATGTCAATTTAAGTAATTTTTGTGTGTCGTTTTTTATGTGTTTTTGGATATTAATATGCAAATTTAACCTTTTTTAAAAATTTTTCATCCCTCATGCCGTAATATTTTTTTTAAATCCTTATTTTTTTCCATTCATTTTTACATAGTATATATATATATATATATATATATATATATATAAACACACACCATCTTTTTATATTTTAAAATTAATATATACTTCAGCTTATATTACTCTTATTATTTAAATTTCATTATTTGAATTTATCATTTTTTATGAAATTTGTCATCCAATTAATATTTGATATCAGATTTTATTTACCGATAAATATAATTTATTTTTCTCTATATTTGAATTTTAGAATAAAATTTTAAAACATGATTTTTTTCTTTTTTAGAAAGTAAATTAGTATAATATACATTTTCCAACATAATACAAATTATTTAATATGAATATATATTTTTTAACATTATAGAATCAATTTATTTAAAATAAAATAATTAAAATATTTTTTAAAGGAACCAACCAATAATTCAAATATAGTTTTTATGCTAATTTTGCTGATTATTTTGTAAACAAATATATATAGATCTAATGCATATACTTAAAAAAAAAATCTTCTCACCAACATTAAATAAGAATAAATTTTTATTTTTTCATTGGTTAATTTTTATGCAAGTCTATATATTAATTGTAACTTTATTTTTTTAATACACTCTTATAAACAAATATAATTTTAAAGTATTTTCTTTTGAATTCTTAATTAATATTTTAGGTTTAAATTATTACAAAATTTTATTCAAGAATCCCTAAATAAAGAGGAATAAATCATGTTTGTTAAGCAAAAAATTTATAAAAAACACAAAAAATTGTAATAATTAAATAAAAAATTATAAAATTTTAAATGATTTTGTTCTATATACTCATAGCATTGTATGGATAAGTTTAAAAATTAATCTTCTCATTAGCATTAAATAAGAATTTTTTTCATTTATCAATTTTTGTAAAAGTTTGTCCATTAATTATAATTTATTTTTTGGAATACAATACTATAAAAATTATATTTTTATAATTTTTTAATTCTTGATTAATATTTATTTAAAATTATTCTATTTTTTATTTTAAAATCAATCCATTATAATTTATGTTTTTTTTAAGCAAAAAATTATTAAAAAATTAAATAAATAGAAAATTGTAATTAAAAAATTTAAAATGATTTTTTCTATGGCATGTGCAGCATAACGCGGCTAAGCGACTAGTTATTATCTATTAGAGCAGACCTTAAGTTAGTTCGTCAGTCATATATAGTATCTTGATTGGATCTCTTAACTACCAATTTTATCAATTTAGTCCTCCATCTATCTACCTTTCATCAATCTAATTTTTATGTTCAATATATTCTAGTCTTCTTATTCAACATGCGTAAGAACTCTTGTGTAGTTGGAGTATGAAGTCACTTCAATTACTTCAATTATGCTTTAATTGGTCCTAACTTTTGTTTAACGAAAAGACAGTATTTTGACATCTTCATAATTAAAACTAACCTGTGCATCATTTAATTTTATCTCCCATTATATAACCAAAAGGATCATATTGAGAAAAAGATCATAGACGAGGATGAAGTTGGAAAACGTTGTAGTTTGAGGACTAAATCATAAAAATATATAGTTGGGGGACTGATCTGAGGTTTTCCCTAACGATTGAACGAATTAGAGGAGAGAAAAGACCGGAAACAGAGACGGCATAGCAAAAGAGAGGTGGAGCTATTAGGGCTCCTTCATTTCCATTGAACAAAATACAGACGCAGTGTGTGCTGAGATAGAGAGCGGTAGAGAGAGAGAGAGAGAGAGAGGGAGGGAGGGATAGAGAGGTCTCCGTATCCGAAAGAAGTGAAAATGAGTGTGTGGAACTACGTGGTGACTGCTCACAAGCCCACCAATGTAACCCACTCTTGTGTGGGGAATTTCACCAGTCCTCAAGAGCTCAATCTAATTATTGCGTAATACATACATACATTTTTTTTTGTTAGATTGAAAGAATTGATTGTTTTATTTATAGTCTTTTTCTCACTAGGGTTGGGTTTTTTAGCTCTATTAAAAAAATTGATTGAATTGACTGTTTTTTGAAGTTGTTCTCCCTTTTTTGTTACTCCTAGTTTTTATTTATTTATTTATTTTTCTATGTAGTATTTTGCTTTAAAAATATCAATTTCATCTTACTTACGAAAATTCATTCTATTTCTGCTTTCAGGAAATGTACCCGTATTGAAATCAATCTGCTTACTCCTCAGGGATTACAGGTAACCAACCACATGTTTTTCTGTTGGTTATGTCCCTTTGTTTTGGGAAGGATGGATATGCTGCCAATCTATCCATCTAGTTGTTTGGCTAACAATGGTCGAAGACTGACCAATCTGCCCAAATTACAAGTTGGGAAGGATAGGAAGAATCCTTCCTCAAGTCTTCATCAATCCTGCTAAACATTAAAGAAAGCAAAGCCTTAAAGTTTTGATGACTTCTTCCCATTTAGAACTAACTAATAGTAAGACTTTAAAAAAGCATGAGAAATGACTCCAAATTTTCCCTTGCAGCCTATGTTAGATGTTCCAATATATGGACGAATTGCAACTCTCGAACTTTTCCGGCCTCATGTTAGTATCTCTATTTATTTTACCTCTCAGTGTTTTTTATGGTTATGCTGTGTGTTGGTTTTTTTTTTGCCTCCTTAAATTTCAACTCCATTCTTTATTGCTTTTATCAGGGTGAAGCGCAAGATTTTTTATTTATTGCAACAGAAAGATACAAATTCTGTGTGCTGCAGTGGGATGCAGAGACATCTGAGCTAATTACCAGGTTTAAGCAGAAAATGTCAAATGATATTTATCTCAGAGAGCTTATTGTGATTAAAATCTTCCAAGTCCAACTGCTAAACACTAACTGCTTATGTGTCAATTTAATGCCTTCGCCTCTTGTCAAAGATGAATTGTGCATATAGTGAGTTATTAATGTTGCATTTGAAAATTATAAAACATGTTAGTGAGATTGTGGTCTGCTTTCTATGATCTTGCCCATCATATTGTGTTCATTTTTTTTATATTTTTACAGTTTTTGGGGGTTTGATGATTTCCCAACCCCCAAAGCCTGAAACTTGAATCTTTTTTCACTGGATCAATGCCTCGTTACTTATTAGGTTGTCTAATTCGCTTTGTAGTTCCACTCAATGACACTTAGCTGGCACAATTACAGTGCAACTCATCAAGTATCGTTGGAAATTATTGGGTTCAATTAAGGGTTTCTTTGCTCGTAATTTTATTTTGGATGTTCTGTGCCTGTTGACTTTTTTATGAATTAGTTAGACTTTCTGATGCATTTGCTTTTCCTGTTTAACTTTCTTCATTGTGGATCAATTACTTAATGTTGTCTGAGAAAGTGCTTTCTTCCCGTTTTCATTCATAGTGGATTTTTTGGTTATTCACAGGACTGGGGCATATGGTAGTTCTGTCTGTAAATAGTCTTTTTTTTTTAAATTTTTTTTGAAGGTATGGTAGTTGGTGAAGCTCCTATAAAATTTAGTAGAAATTCTCTTCAGGTTTAAGGATTTCCAAATGGAGGACGAATCAATATAGAAAACTAAAGCACATCGATTAGATGAAATTCATTTCAGCTTTAAGGATCTCAGATAAAGATTAAAACACATGGATGGTGGTGTTTGTTTGATTGGAAATAATTTTCTATAGCTATTTCTGTTTCATTCAATGATGTGATACATTGGTCAAATCATGAGATCTGCTTTTATCTTCTTCTTGGTTAGTTTGTAGAAAATTTCATCAGGCATCTAAATGAATTGAAATATAATTATCAGAAGAATGGGAAATAATGTGGGAACTACTGTATTCCTTATTTGGGACAGTTGGGATCCAGAAGCAACCTGTTGTAAGTTGTAACTTATTTGCCAATATTGAGAAAAGGAAAGATGGAAGTTATATATAGCAAAGTAACAGAGTTAGCTGGATGTGTTATATAAACAGTTTCTAGTTTTCTTATGTTTAGATGTAGAAGCCTTGGTGAATCTCTGAAATTGTTGTAGTATGTGGATGGTGTTTTCTATACAATTCTTGAATTGAATCTTTCTTTTGCTTGCCCTATAGAGCAATGGGGGATGTATCAGACCGTATAGGTCGCCCAACAGACAATGGCCAGGTAATTATTACAGTTCTAGGCTCATATTGAGTCTCTCCATAATTTCTCATAAGCTTTTGGTCCATGTTTTAGAGTAATTTTTCTTTATTTCCTCGGTCTGGACAAATGTGCCTTAACTTTTCATCGGGCATAGCGGTGAACTTCGTCTCCTGCCTTGTTCATATCTTCTCTTTCCTCTTTACTGCAGATTGGCATAATTGATCCTGATTGTAGATTAATTGGACTCCATTTGTATGATGGGTTGTTTAAGGTACACGATCCGACTATTTTCCAACTTGAATTTTCAACGTGGAAGTGTGAGAGTTTTAGTTGGTGACTTAAGAGCATCTTATTATCTACAGTGTTCTCTGCATTATGATCAAAAGAATGAACAACTAATAGTTATACTGGTTGTTTTTTCAGGTCATTCCTTTTGATAATAAAGGACAGCTGAAAGAGGCTTTTAACATAAGGTATGCAATTGTCTATCCAATTACTCAACTTCTGTTCTATGGTTAAATCTGCCAATGACCTGTCAAAAGAATTAATGGATCTACTTACCGTGAAATTGATGTCTAGTGTACTGGATCTGGATTCCTGTATTTCAAATGGACATACATGTAGCAACATGTGTGCTTTCATGTGTATGTATGCAAGAAGAAGACCTGATTTCTCTTAGGAAGTTGCTTTATGTACATTGCAATTTACTTGCTTTTTCTTTAAGTGCCATTTTAACTTGGATTTACGTTTTCAATCTCATCCTAAATCTTTTAGCTTATTTAATTAATAGAGTTACTTTAGCCCTCCCATCTTTCTCATGCTGAATACTCAACATTAGAAACTGGGGACAGTAGCAAATGATGTTATATATGCAACATCCTTTTTGTCATGGTACCTAAGCAGGAGACACAGGAAAATGAAAACCACTATTGAGCTTTCTTTCATTTTCTTAGAAGGTTTGAGCATCTGTGGTGTGGTTCAAAGCAGTTGATGGCTAATGCAATGATGCAGGGCCACCAAGCATTTCCTATCGTTGAAATCCGTGTTGCTTTGGCTGAAATAGTGGTGTGCTTGCAGCATCCTTTAGTTGATAGCATGGTCTTGCAATACACCAGATTGTGTAGCATAATGTACTCTTCTGATCACAGATTAGTCAACCTTGTGATTATATGTCATTTTTTGACATTTTTTTTAAAATTGAATCTTGTAATTTGTACTATCCATAAACACACCCACATGGACAGAAACCCAGGTTTACTTGTACAGACATTGATATAAAGACACGGTTATATGTTAAGGGTGGCACTTGTAAAAAGGGCTATCTGAATTTCAGCAATAGAGAAATAGTAGAATGATGGAAGTTAGCTTTCAGACATTGCTCTTCTTGGAAAGGAGGTTCTCCTTATGCCCTAGAATTCTGTCATGTCTCCACTTGTGTCAATCTGGTTTGGATGAAGTGCCGAATGTATCATTGAATTTTATTGTTTCTTCATTGCATGCTTATCCAATGATTTGTTTATGGTGTCTTCTTTACAGGCTTGAGGAACTTCAAGTTTTGGATATTAAATTTCTTTATGGCTGTTCAAAACCAACAATTGTTGTTCTTTACCAGGTTCACTGTTTTTCTTTTGTGTTCCTACATTCAGGATGTAGTTCTTTCAAATGTATTCTTAACATTTATATAGATTTGGATAGATGATCAATCTAAAAAAAGTTGCTTTCTCTTCTCATCTCAAATGGCCTTTTAAGTTTTCAAACTATTTATATGCTGCAGCATGAGCTCTTAAAATCGTTTTTCTAGTGAAAAATGCATTACATTCTTACATGAAAATGGTTATGTTATTAATCAAAATAACTTAGGGTAAATTGAGAAAGTCACGTGTGATTGTATTCTATTTATGCTTATTGGTTAAGGTAGTGCTTATAAACCATCAAATGTCTTGCCTAAGTCTATACTTTTTCTGAATTAATAAAGAAATTGGTGCCCAAAACTTTCTCCATATGGAATGTGTGTCCTAGCTAAGTGTGGTTGGATTCTGCATTAGAAAATTAAAATTAAAAGCATGAGTGCTCTGAAGCATATAGATATATTCCAAATAAGCAACCATGTCCACCATGCAATACAATTTATTTGCAAGTTTCTGTTCTACTGCAATGGTTGGACAGTATCCTCACATCTTTTCACTCTTATTCACTACTTTGGCTGATCTTTGGAGTTCTTGGGCACTTTAGATCTTAGAGTATAGTCTATTTTTTTTGAATTTATTTTTGTGTTTTGTTTTGGTTCTTTTGGTGCTTGCCACTTTTTGCCTGCTTTGGGTTGTGCCTGCCTTTTCACCCTTTTGGAGTAATTTATTATTCATTTGGAAAATACTTAACAAAAACTCTTATGTGGAAACGATCTCTTTGTTTGATAGTTGTAGCTTGACACTGGTTATCGAGAACATCCAAGCCCTGTATGTGATTTTTTATTAATTAACTATATGCTTATTATGGGAAGAAAACTTAGATGGCCATTTTAGTCCGTTCTTATCATTGCAGGATAACAAGGATGCCCGTCATGTTAAGACATACGAGGTTGCTTTGAAAGATAAAGACTTTATTGAGGGTCCATGGTCGCAGAACAATCTTGACAATGGTGCTGATTTACTAATACCAGTGCCTCCACCTTTCTGTGGTGTTCTTATTATTGGAGAAGAAACAATTGTATATTGCAGTGCCAATGTTTTTAGAGCAATCCCAATAAGACCTGTAGGTCACTGGTTGAATTGTTATTGATATTATGCTAGGATCTCTTAGTAAATTTACAGACTTGCAAGTATTGACTTTTTTGTGTTCATGACCATTTTCCTTGATTGCACTTCTAGTCTATTACGAAAGCATATGGAAGAGTTGATGCTGATGGTTCTAGGTATTTACTTGGTGATCATGCTGGGCTTCTTCACCTTCTAGTTATAACCCATGAGAAAGAAAAGTGAGTATTTCCTCTATCATGTGCTGTGATGATGATGATGTGCATGCATTCATTTTTTTTTCTTTTGGAAAAGAAAATGGATCACTTCCCACTATTATTAGAATTTTCTCAAGCTTGTGCACATTTGTGCTACAGGGTCACTGGCCTCAAAATTGAGCTATTGGGAGAAACTTCTATTGCATCTACCATATCATATCTCGACAATGCTTTTGTTTTTATTGGTTCAAGCTATGGAGATTCACAGGTATGGTGCTTATTAGAAAATTCCATTTTATTGTTGAATAATTATTTCTAAATTGAGATCTTTTTATTTAGTTATTGTTTTCCTGATGTTAGTGAATCTGTACGGTTGGTCTTTCGCAATTTTGTTTAATGACTAGGGAGAAAATGTGTTTTACTTGGTTTAAAAACATCTATTTGATTGATTGATGCTAAACTGTATTTTGTAGATTTTGATTGCAGAAGAAGAGGAGGACAAGAAAGGGTCTATCTAAGGATTCTGCCTTGTCTTCTTAGTAGTTGAGATATTTTCTATAGATTCCATTTGTTGAAAATCTAATTTTCAAAATCCAAATGTTTTGCTTTTCATTTTTTTCCTTTGGTTAAGGTAAGAAAATCCAACACTTTTTGTTTCCCAATTGTTAATGAGATTACCTATTCCTTTGTTGCGGACCTGCTCTGTTTTATGCTCCACTAAGAAAAAGTAATATTGACATGTAGGGAAAAATTGGCCTTGTCTATAATTTTAGTTCATGTGCTGTATTTGTGCGTTGACAATCTTATTGGTTCCCCAATGCAGCTTGTCAAGTTAAATCTGCAACCTGATGCAAAAGGTTCATATGTAGAAGTTCTGGACAGGTATGTCAATTTGGGACCAATTGTTGACTTCTGTGTGGTAGACCTGGAGCGGCAAGGCCAAGGTCAGGTTGTGACTTGCTCTGGAGCCTATAAGGATGGTTCTCTTCGTATAGTTCGTAATGGAATTGGAATCAATGAACAGGTTTGCCTTTTTTTCACTGATTCCTTCTAAATTGAATTCTGAGCATTTTGTTTTTTATTTTATAGAACTCATTCGCCAACGGCATTCGATGCAGGCATCTGTAGAGCTTCAAGGCATCAAAGGAATGTGGTCATTAAGATCTTCAACTGACGATCCATTTGATACCTTTCTGGTTGTAAGTTTTATCAGTGAGACGAGAATTTTGGCAATGAACATTGAGGATGAGTTGGAGGAAACTGAAATAGAGGGTTTCTGTCCACAAGTGCAGACATTGTTCTGCCATTGTGCTGTGTTCAATCAGCTTGTACAAGTAAGTTTACGTGTTCCATTCAAATAAACATTTTTTTTTCTTGGTAGATCTATTTTACTGATTAATTTAATTTAGCAAATAATCCCCAGGTGTTTATTTTATTCTTGTTGTATGTCGAGATTATGTTTGGATATGAGCAATGTTTTATCTTATGCTTCTACTATGTCCTCTTACTCCAAAAATGCTGTGAACTGCGATACCAAACTTGAGCTTGTGCTTTAGAGTTTCTCTTGCATTTTCTGTTAATAAGGCGTTTACAATCCATTGCTAACCATTGGGTTTGGGATTGATCACTTTATCTAGTATTGATAGGCTGAAATCCATCCCTTTCAAATGCAAATTCATATGTACTGTCTATTGTCATGTAAAGTTTAATTATTGACATTTAACATGTCATGATTGTTATTGATTTCTTAATAGAGCCTAATTCACCCACTCCCTCCTCCACTGTTTACCTAAAGGGAAATTTGCTTTGCATTCATTATATCGTAGAAGTTCTCACTATCATTATTGTTATTTTTTTTAAAGTTTTATTAGCATGCCTTATGCATTTTTGAATTTACAACTTTGTGAAATTAGATTATGTGAGAAGGATCTCTCTGCATCCACTTTTTTGTGCTAGGAGATGTTTATCCACTAATATGGGAAGGACCGACCTTGCAGGTTACATCAAGCTCCGTAAGACTGGTCAGTTCTACAACAAGAGAGCTCAGAAATGAATGGAATGCTCCATCAGGTTATTCAATAAATGTTGCCACTGCTAATGCCACCCAGGTTTGTTTCTTGCAATTCCCCAACTATAGGTGTTGGATTTGTATTTCCTGGTTTTAGAAAATAAATTTGCAGCAGGTTTTGGTGGAAATGAGTGCGAAGCTGTTCACACCTGAGCTGTTCAGAATCTCATTTCTTCTAAACCAAGTGCTGTTTAACCCTAGTTCTGGATGAACAAACCCTAGATCACCACGAATCCTTAATGGGACATAAATCGAAAGTTGTCTGGTATGTGTGAGTGGGATAGACCCTAGTACCAATGAATCCAGCAGGATCCATGCTGTCAGTAGCAGAAGTAGAGGGAAAGAACAGAGAAGGAAAGGGAAGAGAGAAACAAAGAGAGGGAGGGGGAGGGGGGGGGGGCAGGGAGTTAGAGCGAGAGCAGAAATCAATTTCCTCAATTCATCGCATAACAAATCTGACTCTGATGCTCCTCGTGTGACAACAGAGCAGTTGTGGACACTTTTCCTTGCAACTTTCTTTTTTAATAGTAAAAGACATCTACATGAACGACAAGTTATAACTAAACAAGGCACAGACTTAATTGGAATGATGAAGTTACGACTGGGAATGAAATTAAATTGAATCCTAATCTCACCTTATAACTGTCATTTCCCAATTTTTCGTTTCACAGCTTTCTTCCACCTTAGTCCCGTATCTTTTTCCTACGTCATAATTCCTAGAGCTGGAGTGGTCTACTACTATACCCATAAGCACGTGTAGGTCATATGCCAGTTTGTTAAACGTGTGAGAACTTCATTCGTAATTTTCTCAGTTTTTTTAATTGTAAAATTGCAGTTGATGTTTTTAATTGGATGGTTTCTGTTTGATCAAATGCTTTCTTAATTATTGTGCCAACATGTTACTTCTATGCTTAGGATTTGACTTAAGCAGTTGCAAGTTAGGTGTTTTGTTGGCATTTAATGTGTGGTTTCTGTTTGATCAAATTCTTAACTTTGGTGCATGTGCTGTAAACAATGGTTGCTAGTAATGTAGGTTTTGCTATGTGCTATGTTGTCCTTTGGAGTCTTTGGCCATTTCTGGTGTAAACATCCTGTTCCTGCTGGTTATAGAATGAGAAATTATTTACAAGTATTGCACCACTATTTGACAGGTTTTATTGGCAACTGGTGGTGGCCACCTAGTCTATCTGGAAATTGGTGATGGGATACTGACACAGGAAAAACATGCACAGTTAGAGTGTGAGATATCATGCCTTGATATTAACCCCATTGGAGAGAATCCCAACTATAGTCAGCTAGCTGCAGTTGGAATGTGGACAGACATAAGTGTCAGGATATTCTCATTGCCTGATCTAAATCTCATAACAAAGGAGCCATTGGGTGGAGAGATAATTCCCCGTTCTGTTCTTCTATGTTCCTTTGAAGGGGTATGCTTATAACTTTCAGTCCTAGTGTTTTCTTCTTTTTCTGAATCTACTGAAGTTTCTTTGTGGTCTCAACTCCATGTCATACATTGCAACGTGCATAGAACAGATTTCTTGATTCAAAACAAAAGATAAAATGGACTTGCAAGAATACTTCTCATAAAAGTTTAATTTTAAACAAGCCAAGGAATTTTTATCATTACCATGCCATTTATTTGAACCTTCGGGAAGATGTTTCTTGGGTTCTAACCCCGCTTTGGTGGGACCATAATTAGATAATTGACTTTTTATCATGAATAATGAATATGGAAAAACTTACCACTATGTTCTTTGGGTGTTCACATTTGTTTGGTTTCCCCCCATTGAGGAGGGTTGTAATTTTGAGTGTTAATAATTTCTCTCTTTGAGCATCTTATTTGTTCCTCGTCAGATATCGTACTTATTATGTGCCCTTGGAGACGGTCACCTCTTAAACTTCCTATTGAACTTGAGTACCGGCGAGTTGAAAGATAGGAAAAAGGTTTCTTTGGGGACCCAGCCCATAACACTCCGTACTTTCTCGTCGAAGAATACCACACATGTATTTGCTGCATCAGATAGGCCAACTGTCATTTACAGCAGCAACAAGAAACTACTTTACAGCAATGTAAACTTGAAAGAAGTCAGTCATATGTGTCCTTTTAACTCTGCTGCATTTCCAGACAGGTAATCTTTTGTCCTGAATTTTTCTGTTGGCTTGCACCACAACAACGTGGCAGGTATTAGGGAAACACCTTTGATTTTGCTGGTTTGATCAAACACATTTCATATGTGAAGACTTTTATGATGTGATTCTCCTACTTAACATTTTACTGCAAAATATTAACATTGGCAGGAATATTTACAAATTGTATGTACAAGTGAATGCAATTCTTTTACTGATTATAGGTAGCTCTGATGGTGCAATTATATTTGATTGGAGATTTTTAGTTTCTTTCCTGTACTTTTTCTTATTAAGAAACTACATTCACCAATCCACTTCTTTGAGCAATAGTGTCTCAGTTATATTTTTTTTTGTGATCACTTGTCATCTAGAACTTATGCAAGGTCATGATTGCCATTGCTATTTAAATTGCTCTATCTTACATCTTAAAATGTTTTTAAAAGCCAAAACGATTCTGAAGAATTATGAAATCATTGATTCTGAACTAGTTAGGTATTGGGCTATCTGTCATTTGACACTGCCTAACTTGAGGTTCTCTTCTTTTGTTGCTGTACCATATAATTGAGACTGATAGGACTTTGTCTTCTCTGTTTCCAGAACAGAGTGGGATGATATTTTTACAAGGCCTGGTATTGGTATGGCATGAAAAGAATATTGTAGATATAATAGGATTGAATTGCTAAAAAATGAGAACACAGAAAAACAGTTTTAGAAACTGGCTTCTGGATGAACTGTCCTATGGTTTATCACTATAGGAATGCAGTCTTTTCCCAAAGGGGAAAAAAAATTACTTTCTAAAAAATAAATTCACAGTTCATTTTCTTGTGGTATATTGTCAACAGCCTTGCTATTGCAAAAGAAGGTGAACTTAGCATTGGCACCATCGATGATATCCAAAAGCTTCACATCCGCTCAATTCCATTGGGTGAACATGCACGGCGTGTATGTCACCAGGAGCAGTCTCGAACCTTTGCCATTTGTAGTTTGAAAAACCAATCCAATGCAGAAGAATCTGAAATGCATTTCATTCGATTGTTAGATGATCAAACCTTTGAGTTCATATCAACATACCCACTAGACACATTCGAGTATGGCTGCTCCATACTTAGCTGCTCCTTTTCTGATGATAGCAATGTGTACTATTGTGTTGGAACTGCATATGTTTTGCCAGAAGAAAACGAGCCAACCAAGGTAAAGGTCACCAAGATTGTGATGGTTTTTCTTTGTTCAGAAATATGAAGTTAAATCCAAACGAATTGAAAACTTTGGCAGTGGGCACTGCCTATCTCACATTCCTTCCATTTATCTTCCTCTTGTGAACAATGTAGGGCCGAATACTGGTTTTCATTGTGGAAGATGGGAAGCTGCAGCTTATTGCTGAGAAGGAAACAAAGGGGGCTGTGTACTCTTTGAATGCTTTCAATGGAAAACTGCTGGCTGCTATTAATCAAAAGATCCAGTTATACAAGTGGATGCTCCGAGACGATGGTACACGTGAACTGCAGTCTGAGTGTGGGCATCATGGGCACATACTTGCCCTCTATGTACAAACGCGTGGAGATTTCATTGTTGTTGGTGATCTGATGAAGTCAATCTCCTTGCTAATCTATAAGGTGAGTATCACATGTATCCTGAAACAAATACTTGCTCAATAATTTAGGCTGTGTTTGTTTTCCACACTCCAACATCAGCTCGTTCCAATTGTTCACTGCTTGACTACAGTCGTTTGACACATGTAATGCATCAAAAGTTAAGAGCCCATGTTATATGATTCTTGTCCCTAGAACCAGCTTTTTAGTTTTCACCTGAGTCCTACCATTTGTGTTTCTGTTTCCTAGCTTGACACAACTGTTCACTTGTCTTCAGCATGAGGAAGGTGCTATTGAGGAGCTAGCCCGTGATTATAATGCAAATTGGATGTCGGCAGTTGAGATTCTTGACGACGACATTTATCTTGGTGCAGAAAATAACTTTAACCTATTCACGGTTCGAAAAAATAGTGAAGGTGCTACTGATGAGGAACGAGGCCGTCTTGAGGTGGTTGGTGAGTATCACCTTGGAGAATTTGTCAATCGATTCCGACATGGTTCCCTTGTCATGCGCTTGCCAGATTCCGATGTTGGCCAGATCCCGACTGTTATTTTTGGGACTGTTAATGGTGTAATCGGGGTCATTGCTTCACTTCCTCATGAGCAATACCTCTTTTTGGAGAAGCTTCAGTCAAACTTAAGGAAGGTGATAAAGGGTGTTGGAGGATTAAGCCACGAGCAATGGCGATCATTCAACAATGAGAAGAAAACTGTAGATGCCAAAAATTTCTTGGATGGAGATCTAATAGAGTCATTCCTTGATCTCAGCCGTAGTCGGATGGATGAGATATCCAAGGCAATGGATATTTCTGTAGAGGAGCTTTGCAAAAGAGTGGAAGAGCTGACAAGGCTGCATTGATATTACTGTCTCAATTGATTTTCCTCTTTAGTTTGTTACTTACTTTGTTCCGTTTGTATGAATTATGTTTAGTTGGTTTGGAGGGATATTGAAGTCGGGAACCATTTCTTGTAAGGAAGGTGAAGGTGCATGTATAACATATTCGTTATTATATCATGTCCATAAGTTTTTTAGATACCTGCATGCGGAGCTAGCCTATATAGCTGACATTGGTTTCTGGGTGGTACTTAATTATTAACGAGTTGAGAACTGAGTTCCAGGTGTTAGGATCAGATCAGGGATGAGAGTCCAACCTATTGCTGCGTTTTATGAAGCACAACTAGGAAAATTTGTACTGGAAGCAGATCTACTCAAACTGTGAGATCCTTGACTTGAAAGTGGAAAGGTGCCCGAACAAGTTGCAAGTAATGGAACTAAGAATCTCATGGGGATTTTGATCCACTTCTTTTTAATTATCTTGTCAGGATTTGTGGATGTAGAGATTGATCAGATTCTTATCTGGTTGTCAAAGCCTCCTTACTTCTGATGACGAGATTCAAACCCCAAGAAATTGATTATCGATGAGTTTTGAAACGGAATCAGAAGTGGTTCAATTCGTCGAACATTTCCTTCTTGAACAGTTATTTCCTTTAATTGGGATTCTAGGAGCAAGAATTTCTGGGAACCTAATCACTTACTACAATTGAGATATTGCATAAAAAATACAATTAAGATACTGGTAAAATAATAATTCGAGACTTGATTTGTCTGATGAGTTAAAACCTGATCAGATTCAATAAAAAGTTCCTTTTAGCATTTAGATTTTTCGTGGATCTTCTGGTTCAATAAAAAAGACATTTGTACGGACGAGAAAAACCTTGTATTTAGATGGCTAAACACCTTGTATTTAGATGGTGAAAACATTTTACACCTCTTTATCTTTTTGAAAATTACACTTTACACCTCAGGATTTTAATATGCCTATTGGAAAATCCCTTGTCTTATAATTCTGTTTACAGTTTTAAAATTCCGAATAAAAAAGTTCAATTTTTTACAAATTTGCCATTATGTTTTTTAAATGGCAACAATGCCTTTTGTAAGCATTTCAAAAAACACCATGTATTTTAATTTCATCTTCAATTGCATATTACATGATGATAAATAAATATTAGTTTCATCAAGACAAACAAAAAGAATTTATAGAACTCAACAAGTCAACAATAGAACATAAAATAAAGAAAGTGCATAGCATTAATCGCATGACCAATGTGTTATGCTCCTCTTGAAAGAGAGATTTTTCTAGAGACCAATTAGGAATACTAGATAAGTCCGAAAGCTTTTAGAAGACTACAAAGCAATGAAGAAGCCTTTAGTATGTCCAAGAGAAATCTAGACATGTCCTAGATAATTCTAGAGAGTCCCTCGTTATTCTAGCTTGTACATATTTAGATAGTTCCTTGTAAATATCTAGATAGGATAATTCTAGAAAATCAATTGTAGCCATTAGATCAAGTAGATCCTAGCCATCCATCGAGGAGGTGAAGGACTATAAATAGGTGAAGCCTTCATTTGTAAGCTTTAGAGAGAGCAATACAAAGAATTCTTATATCTCCGGTTTGTGTATTTCTTACTTGATAACTTTGTGTGAAAAATGCCGACTTAGTTTGGCTTAGAGAAGAAGTGAGGTAAGTGTCGCACCGCAGCTTGGGAAAGGCCAAGTCCATGACAATTGGTATCGTAGCTAGGTTCTCTCAAGTGTGATTAAGCTTGCGGCTAGCTAAGTGTTCAAAAGAGTAAGCATGTTTACCTCCGGTGTCGAGGATGTTGCTAGAGATATTAGGAAGGAGACTCTACCTCCTCAACATAAGAAAGTAAGGGAGAAGTCTCATGATGTGTTGGTTGCATTGTAGGAAAGGCTTTTAAGGGCGGAGGAATACCTTGTCAATTTCAAGGAAAGACTCGAGGAGATAGAGGGAGATGATGAGGGGGAGACACTAGGCATGACGAGCCTATACGAGGTGCTCTCGATCTCCAAGCTCGAGTGGAGATGGTTGAGAGGTGTGTCAAAGAGAGTGCTCGTCAAAAAGGATGCCTTCATAGAATGGATGAAGAAAATGTCCAAGCAACATCAAGAGTCTATAACCGAGTATGAGCAAACATTTGAACAACTTAGAAGAGATTAGATAAATTATCGAAAAGCCATATCTAATGGTGTGGTCTTAAGAGACACGCTAAAAGTTAAAGTGCTAAGACCAAGGCATTATGTTGGCAAGTGGGATGCCAAGAAAGTTGATAACTTTTTTTGGAAAATGAAGCAATATTTTGAGGCGGTGAGCTTAAGCAAGGATAGAAATCACATCAAGATCGCTACTCTCTACCTTACGAGAGGATGCTCGCTTTATGGTGGCGTATGAAGCACTAAGAGCTTAAAGAGAGAATCAAAAGTTACCTAGTTGGGATGAATTCAAAAAGTCGTGTATGACCAATTTTACCATGAGGAAGCAGATTGGGAAGCACAGGATAAGCTACAAACGTTAAAGCATACAATAACTATTCATGAGTATATTTGAGAATATGTTTTTTTTAAACTTCGTGTATGTGGCAAAACCGATATAACACCCTCGGCCTACGACCGAGATAGATCGAAGATATTATTGGCATTAACTCACATTCGGAGTGTAGTGAATGCAAGCCAAGAATCTCCTCTCTTAACATTTTCGATTCATTAACGAAGTGGGCAATTTACGAGTGAGGTCCCCAATAAATATGAGATAATAGGTCCACCTTAACTAAATCTTAAGCATAAACTTTTCTAAGATTCAACAAAGCCTTTAATAAATTCATTTAGACTTTTACTAATATTTTTGGACTTAAGGAACTTTGGTTCCTAATTTATTTAAAACTAACCCATTTATATCCTCATTTCCTATCTATAGATATCCTTTTGAGTCTTGACCTTAGTACTCCTTTTGTGAAACCCTTGTTAATTTCTTACCCCGCTTCTTTTACTCTTAACTCATTAGTTATTAATTTAGGGAAACCATCTAAACCTTAACTTTATTATGCCTTCAATTAATTCATTCATTCCTAAAATCTGTTACTTCAATTTGACTACATTGGTTGGTCTTATCTTAGCATGTATACTAATCAATAATCATATTATTCCTAACATGCATACTCACATCAATCGCATAATATACATATATCTCATGCATGACATAAGGATCGGTGAATGGTAATAGATCTCTAATACTAGTCCCTTCGAGCTATAAGGAAACAGGTAGATTAGATACTTAGGTGAAAAATTATTACAAATTCTTCGAGATTGTCTTCATTTCTTAGCATCTTCTCCTTGCATCTATTCTAATTCCTATCTTCTATTTTTATATTTATTTGAATAAGGAATCTCGAGTTACGTAAGATGAGAAGAGAAATACAATAGAGTAATAGAGAAGGTAGGACACATAAGTCCTATTTATCCAAAAATTACAAACATTGATTCCCATAAAACTAGGTCGACTCATTCATACCATTCACTTATGCTTCAATCACATTGATACACGACATACTAATGAAATATATTTAATTCAAAACTCAATTATAAATCTATGTTTTAGTCATTTTATAAATTTATCACAATTTCTTTAAATTTTAATTTTTTTAAAAAACTTTTTAGGCCTCGGGCCCATGGGCTTTTGGACGCTTCGATGCCCAAGCCCTCCGCTTGAGCACGCCCGCCCACGACTAGTAGTCCGGCATGCAAGCACTCGGCCGGTGGCATCGCACACATGCTTGGCTTGCGGCATGTGTATGTCTTTCTTTTTATTATGAATATATTCTATACAATGCTTATGGAGCTCTAAGAAAATATCAAATTTTTATATAAAATATAGACATATAAAATATCTTATTAGAGATTTACGTATAATAATTTATGGAGTTTATAATTATGATTCACACTTATTTTTATAATTGAAATTAAGAAGGATATTTTTTTTATTGAAAGCAATCAACGCTATATAGTTCTTCAACCTCCACATGTTAGCCTTAAAGATTTATAAACATTATGATGATTTTGATGATAATAAAATATCAATTGTATTAATTCATGTTTAACTATTTATGATTTTGTTGATATATTATAGGGTTTATGCTTTTGTACACACTTTAGTTGTTTTTTTTTGTTTTTGTTTTTGTTTTTTGTGTTTAAAAGGTCTCTTTACTATTATTTGTCTTAATGTTACATTTTCATCGTCATCACATCCTTTTTTTCATTAGTGTTACCAAAATCCATTAAAAATTTGACGCATGACATGTTCCTACATCATAAACTGTCATTGATGGACATTTTAGTTCCTAATTATTTTAAAAAAATTTACTTTGGTCCCACCTTTTATTTTTCTTTCAAAATTTCTTAATTGAAAGTTTGTTTGGTCATAATATTTTACAATAATTATAATTTAGTCCTCAATTTTTTTTCCAATTAAGTTCCTACATGCCAAATCACAAGCTTGGTCAAACAATTTAAATAGGTTGATAGACAATATAATAGATAAGTAGATTTAAATAGATATACTCGTTTAAAAGATAAAATTTTGTTTCATATAATATTATATACCTATTGCGAGAATTTGTTAATATAAAAAATTTATTTTCTTGAATTTGACCTTCAAAAATCGAGACAAAAAAAAAAAAAAGAAGGAAAAAAATTTCACAATAGATAAACGATATTATAGAAAACCTAGTTTTTATTGAAAAATAATATTTCTATGATAATATGAGGAAAAAAATCAAAATCAAGTAAGTTTTTTTTCACACACCAAAAAAAAAAAAAAAAGAAAGAAAGAAAGAAAGAAAGAAAGAAAGGGTAAAAGCACTTTCATTACCCAACAACAATGATTCAATTTTTAAATAAATAAATCCATCAATTTAACTCTTTCAACAAACACAACTCAACCAATCCACCTTTCAAAAACAACAAAGTCATGACATGTTTTTAATAAGGAGATAAATTCTATCTC